ATAATCTGAATGTCTCATTAGATTCGTTTTTGTCGTATCTGTGGCGCTTGTTCATTGTAAATATGTACATAAGCTTAGAAATAATTCTACATACATGAATATATAGTGAGGTTATAGAAGGAAACTGTATAAGAAAAAATTTATGCTGAATTTTGACATTCCAAAGAATAAGCGCCAATCCTTAGCACAATTTACTTATTTTTGTAGAAGCATTTTAGATTTAATGAAGTAAATACGACACCAAACGTCATAGGAGAAAGTCGGTTTACAGGTCTCTATAGTCGGTATCCAGTACCCTCTTAATACATATATGCAGGCAAAAAAAGATTTTCTCTTTCTCTCTCTTCTTTTCTTTCTAATAATAATATTCGAATTTAAAACCATATTTATAAATTTGTATATCTCTCTTTTTTCGTTAAGAAATTCAATAAGGTTGGATTAAAAATTTTTTCACAGATTTTTCATCACAAATTTTCTCAGTGTTGCTATAAGTTCAGACTTAATTTTATTTTCTTTCAAAATTTTCTAATGATTAAAATATCTTTTAAATAATAAAAACAACATTGTTTTGAGTAAGTCATACAAATGTTTGACAAACAAATAGAAAAAAAAAACATATTGCTAATTTAAGTGATAAAATCTCGATGTATAATTACTGAGAAAGTTATTCTTAAACGCATGTTCAAATTATACAGTGTGTAAAAAGCGTTTCTCAAAAGAGAAACTTTGTCAGAAAATGTGAATAAAACAAGAAAAACAAACAACGTCCTTGAACAAAAACAAAGAATAAATCCGCAAACGTGAAAGAGAAGGAAGCACCGATTGTCTGAGAATATCGAGAATATCACAAGACAAAGGTACAAGAGGAGAAAACGAAAACCGAGAGGAGAATCGAGTGCACCTGAGCGCGAAGAAAGAATCTGATATAAGAGAACAGATCTTTCTCTTTCTCGCTCAAATTTCTGCTAGAGAGAATCATTGGAGCGATAGAGAAAGAAAGAAACGGCGAGAGAGAGAGAGAGAGAGAGAGAGAGAGAGAGAGAGAGAGAGGTGAATCACGCATGTTCTTATAGATGAAGATCTCGAGGATGAAGAAAAGGATATGGAGGTGGTAAAGGAACCAAAGAGATGCGGCGGGCCTCCGTCGCGGAGGCTGCGGTTAGAAAGTCTTCGGGCACACCGAGGCCGCAGTGCCGCGCCTGCAAGTCGTCATCCGGGTGTTGGTCGGTTCGCCTGCAGTGTGTGAGAGTCGTCGACACCGTGTGTGTATTGCATACGATACACAGTCGGTGAACTGACTGTGTGCCGACAGTGCCGCGTGTTCGACCAATTGGTACCACACAGGTACCAAGCGCGATATCAGTCCGCGGTCGCAGTCTTCGCGCTCGCTACGCTGGCTCGTCTCTGCGCGAAACTCTTTTCGGAGTCAACGTTGTCGTCGCGTATATACGCACGCGGTAGGTGATTCATCATAGTCATTGATGGATGCGGAGATTAATTTCTCGAAGAAGAGACGTGCACTTGAATACATCACCGGAGATTCGCTTCCGAAACAAATAGGTACGTTTGCGTCGTGTAGTAAGTAACTCGTCGACTCGGACTTGGAATACGTTCAAAGGAAACGTTATCGTTACGTTATCGAACGTAATTTCTCATACGTTTGTTTGAGCGCGTCTCCTTCGAACTTTTTTCCTCGTTCGAAGAGAGACGCGCGTTTGTGTAAAACACAAACTGACGTTAAAAAAACTGTCAATGTTTCGTCGCGTGTTTTCTTATGATCTCGTGCCTTCAGCGCGCGACCGCATGCAGTGATTGCTTGAACAGGTGCATGTTTCGCGCGCCTCATCGGTTGCAGGTTTCAGAAAGTGCAATGAACCGTTTTCCTCTTTTTTTTTGTTTTTTTTTTTTTTTCGTGATTTCTGCGTGAAATTTCGATGCGCACATGCGCGCGAAATGGCAAGCGCGTGTGCGCGGGTATTACGCGAGTTTTTCAAACGCGTACGACATCCAGCAGGAAAGGCGGTCCGCGTGACCATGCACGTCTCCAATGCCAATACGACGTACGCGACTCGCTACATCCATTCATGGAAAACGACACACATGATTCCACTATAAAATTCATATTTCTAGATTTGATTAGACGCGACGATTCGATGCGATAGTGATTTAATTTATTTTCATTTTTTTTTTTTTTTTGCACGAACGAACGTACCTCCGCAATTTATTTTATCAATTTTAATTAAGTAATTTAAAGTTACGCTTTTTTTAATGTGTTATTTTTTAACGATTAATTTAACTATAAATACACACACGCACAATTCAGATGTTACTTTACATAGTTTTTATTGTGTAACAAAATTTGCGTTATTTGTGTTGTCGTATTCCGGTTCTGCATACGTACATAATAAGAGAGATCGTATTCTTTTACATTTTACGTGAAATAAAAGTAGTTTTTTTTTTTCTGCCGAAATTCAAGTCGAACAAAAGATCTCTGTTGCAGAATGTAAATTCACAATAGACTGCCGGAAGCTTTGCGAAATCGGATATCGGAACGTAATAGTATGTTTCGTTGTCTTTCAAACTAGCATAAGAACGCATGTGTATATCAGCGTGTTTTTTTGTTTTTTGTCTCTCAGTGCTCAGAGCGTTCGTGAGGCTCCCGTTTCACCTTTTACATTCGAGGATACGAACGGGAGACACGATCGCGCGGTCGACCGTGTACAAGAAGACACGTCGGTTGCGGCAGGTCACGCGAAGAACAGGTCTGAAGATGGCCTACATTACCCGGTCTTATCGGTGAGAGGAACGCAGTTTGGCCGTGCGACTTAACTGGAAAAGAATCGACGAACGGAGAGACCCAGGAAAAGAGAAAAATGGGACACGCGTGGTGCAAGGAAAGAACTTCCAAAGCCCAAGACTCCAAGTCCCCGTTGGATCGTGTTTTCGTGCGCTGCGCTCACCGAGTATGTATACAACGAAGACATATGTATAACGTTTCGCTTCTTTTTCAAACATCTGTTTATGATGTTGATCGCGATGATGATGAATCGCTCGCGTGTTTACGTTTTCAACGACACGCACAAACAGCGATTTGCCAACGGGTGTCTCTCTTGGTGCGTTATCTATGGAAATGAACGCGCGATAAAAATTAATGGACTTCTCTCCCGATTCGAATTAACGAAACCTCCAAGAAACCTGTTGAGGCTTGAAATTTATGTGTGTCACGCAAAAGAAAACATTTAATTCTGTTGTGGGTAATAAATTCTCTACATTTATGTTAGTTACGTAAGTCCATGTTTTACCAGTTGTTGTAAAAAAAAAAACCTACGCGAATACGTGAGGTATTTGCATATTTTTTTTTTTCCTAAATTTCGAGAAATCACATAAATTTCAATCTAGGTGGTAAGTCTTTGCTACACGTTCTCGGACTTGTAAAAAATAACACGTCTGTGTGATGATAGTTGCACTTGTGACGTTGTTCACGAGAAACATCTGTTTGCCGTATAATTTTGCACGATTATTACGCTGCCCGGTCGTTTCTTCGTGAGAACGATTGAGAAGCCGAGTATGAAAAAAAACAAAAAAGAAATACGCGCCGTCGGTTGCACTTGAAACGAATACGGGAGATGCGTCCTCGTTTATTATATAACGTGTGCTCGCACACGTGTATTCACGCACACGTCTATTCACGCACAAATTGCATGAGTTTGCAAACGCGCGCTACAGGCCTGCGCGTCACGATAATTTGGAATCTCAGATATGCGGATGTGTGATTGCTAACGATGCTGACTCTCTTACTGCTTTTACACCTTTCTCCCCGACGGCATACATACATATAAGTTCGATTATATAAAGAGACTACGCGCATGGTTACTTAGTTTTTTTTTTCATCGTGTCTTAAAGTTCGACATTGTTCAATTATGCAAGTATTAATTATGCAATATCACAATATTTAATACACACATATATATATATATATATAGTTTTGTATATAGTTTTGTCCAGATGTGTGTATAAATTTTACGTTTCTTATATATATAATTTTTATTTATTTTTCGCTTTTTAAAACATGTACTTAAATTATTTAACATGAGTGCTTACATGTTGCAATTCATAATTTATAAATTTATACACGTTTGTTGTGCATTTTGGTTATACGTGAGTTTTGCAATTTCTAAAATGCAATTTTTCCCGCACCGAACGCATAAATCATTTCGGAAATAACTTCGGAACAAATTCTAACGATGTTTTCGCTTACGTTCAAGGACAAACGTGCGATGTATTTGGCGCATTAAAACGCGATTGGTTTAGTCATCGCACAGATGACCAACGATTGTACTCGAGAGAGAGAGGGAGAGAGAGAGAGAAAGAGAGAGAGAGAGAGAGAGAGAGAGAGAGAGAGAGAGAGAGAGAGANAGAGAGAGAGAGAGAGAGAGAGAGAGAGAGAGAGAGAGAGAGAGAGCAAGAAAGAGAGACGCATATAACACGAATGGGATTGGTTCAATTAGACATAACGCGATAAGTTCGATGTTAAACAAGAAACTATGCGCGTGTCAAGGATGCTTTAGGTAAGAAATGAAGACTAGAGAAAAAATCGAGTCGCGCGAGGGTCACAGTTAGATTACACTTCTTGTACATTGGTTTTCATTTCATATTCATATAGAGAAAATGACTCATATTAAAAAATAATCGCAGCCTATTTGCTGCTAGCAATGTTGTGTGCTGCAACTAGTAAGAATTATATTCTTCTCTCTAAAATGAATATCGTGTTTTCTTTTGTGCAAATAGTTTTTTACAGTATTATTATTTTATTTCCATTCTCACTTGTTATTATATTAAAAATTTATGCAAATTGTGAGGAACGCAAAGAACGCCAATACAATAGGTACGGTTGTTGTGTCAGTACGTTCACTATATACACAATAACATAAATTGCGCTCACGCTTTCACCGACACTCTCTTCTATTTCTGTCTCTTTGCCCACGTATTAATTTAATATTTAACAATCGCTTCTCTCTCTCTCTCTCTCTCGCAACATCCGAGTTGAAACCGTATTTTTAGATTCAATTAAATTCCGTTTCTTTGTAACGTAAGTTGCGATGATGGATTTATTCGTTTTGATTCGTTCGCCCCTCACGTGTTCACGATAGATTGATATAACATCCATATAAATGCATTGCACATCTGTGTTGCTTCTGCGCACACGGATACTCGAAATCTACCAACTAGCGACGAAAAAAGTGCACTAAATTTAATTTCTCATAAAAGCACAAAGAAAACCATTTTTCTGGTTTTGCGAAACACCCGAAAGTTGAACAACGTTTTGTTCGACAAAAATTGTGCCGCGACGGAGCGTAAATTCCAGATCTCTTAATTCGTCGTTTTATCTTTGTAGCGAGTTGTAAGAGATTATCGCGGGAATATGAATGTTGACCGTGTTCTATAGCATAGATCTCGGTCCAACCCTAGTTCCGGTCTTTGCCACCTTATCGCTCTCGACGCTTCTACCTTGCGGGCACAAATGCTTGAAAAAATACAGTTTGCCGATTCATATGCGTGTTTGCGCACATGCTAACTAGAAAATAGTAGACGACCGCTTGCGTAACAAAAAAAAAGATATAGAACAGAAAAATAGATATACAATAAACAAAAACCTGTGCGAAATTCACTTAAATAATTTCTTCTCATTCTTTCTTGTTCTTTTTCTTGTAACAATCCTTTTTTTTTTGTAAGAAGAAGACAATTGCTATTGTCGTTTTGATCTTTTCTATTGGATTTTTTTTTTGTCAACATTTTTAAGATAGATTAGATCAGTGTCAGATTTAATGAGCGCGCCGTCGGACCGAAGGAACTTCTATTAAGCTGACCTAGTTTGAATTGTTAATGAGACGTTGCTAATGTCGCTGTTATGCATGGAGTCCGTCGAAATGGAAAACGTAACGTCCTTAGCAACGAATGCACGTAACAGAAATAGGTGTAGGTAAACGTGCGAGAATATACGTTGTATATATATAAGCGAGAGCTCATACGTACCTTACACGAACACAGTTACGTTCGCGTGATACTGTGTGCTTGTGATTGAAGCACTGGTACGAAGCTTGACAACAGAATAAAGATTACGTAAAGCACGGCGCAACATAGAACCGTGTGTATCTTTATGACGGGGCCACGCGATGCGATTTGTTTTATGCTGACAAACCAAACGCGTATATATTTACGCGTGCGTAATAGATTAATGTGAGATGAATCTTTACAGATATAAATGACAAATTAATCAAAAGCAATATCAATTATCCGGAAATAAACTTCTTTGTTTTTTTTTTTTTTTTTTTTTCACAATGTCACAACTGAATTCGCGATAACATCTATAGATTTTCGTGCGACATTTCAACGAGCTTGTATTATTAGTGTGACAGCAATTAAAAAAAAAAGACTTATATAAACCTTCTATATCGATAAAAAAGAAAGTCACACACAATGTTTGCATTAACTCTGATAAAACAAGAAGTTGAGCAAATAAAGATAATTTTAGATGTCTTTAGTTCAAGAATGTTTCGATGTTTATCAATGTCAGAGTGTTCGATGATTAATAATAGATGATCGTTTGAAGTTACGCAGTAAAAACTGTAGATAATGTAGAATCTACGGAGCTAAAACCATACATTCTTCAAAAATACAATTGAAATATTATGTTAGCATTTATATTTTTTATTTTGTTTCAAAATTTGTAAAAAGTGTGTGTTTAAAATAATGTTTAAGTTCAACAATAGAGATTATCTATTGTTAATAATGTTTAAGTTCAACAATAGATTATCTATTGTTGAACTCTTAAACATTATTTTAAACAGTTCTTACAAATTTTGAAACAAAATAAAATATAATATGCTAACATAATATTTCAATTGCATTTTAATGGGTAATATCTGTTGTTGAACTTAAACATTATTTTATAAACAGTTTTTTTTACAAATGCTTACATTTTCTGAATTAGAATTTAATCAAACAAATTAATTTGTTAATTAAATATTATTCTGGAAATGGAAAATCTCGCGATTGTCGAATTTTCTCGAATAATATCTCACATCCGAGAAAGACAATTGTATTATTAGCGATGTAGTCGCGACTTCACGAAGGCAGACGTTGGACCGATCGACCTACGCTACTGTATTATTAATAGATAGTGAAAGTTACATTAGATATTTGTGCAGGAACCTAGAAAATTGCCCACTGTCACGGAGGCATATAAAACTTGGGTAATAACACGTGTCGTAATGTGCGCACAGATTTCACGCCAGGTCTCCAACTTCTTGCCTTGCATTCGCCAAAACAGCTGGCATGTAAATTGCTTTTGCAAATAGTAAATCTCGACTTCTCCAACATTAACTTACTTGCCATATTTCAAAGAAACTCTTTATTGTTTTTTTTTCCATACATGCGCACAATATATCTCGTTTAACTTAGGAAAAACATTAAATATATATATTTCCAACGCTTGAATTTTAAATTTTACCAACTGATTCTCCAACACCGCAAGAGTCTGAAAAAAGCAATAATGTGTTTTTTATTTCCTAAAAAAAAAACTTACAAGCAGCGCGCACTTGTTATGTATCGTCGCAGTATTATCAGTGCTATACTTTCGCAAGTATTCAGACGGCTATCCCGGGAGAGGCTTAGCAAACGTGTTTCGCGAACAACATCACTGGGACAATGCCGGCGGACAGTGGCAACCTTGGTCCGGGGTGTAATTTAATCGGTAAAATAACTTTTGTCACCGACTCGACGGCGAGATGTGTTGCGCGCGAGAAGTTTCCCGACGAATTTGCAATGTAAACCGCGCCCGTAGGAACGTCCGCGCGCGCGACACGTGTACAATTTCGAAAAGGGTTGTCCACACATACAACACACGCGGATACAACGTGCGAATATACGAAAAGGAAGGTGTAAACATCGCGTCCGTCGTCTCGCCGTATATGCGCCGCGCGAGATCGATGCAAGGACGTCTCTCCTCTCTGCTGTCCCGCTAATCTCGTTAACGTGCGCATTATTTGCCGCGACGATCACAATGTGCATGTATTAACAACGCTCAAGTTTGATCGTCCGGAGCTCGTTTACTCGCGATTAGCCTGCTTCAACCGAGTTTTAATTTGTTGTTCGAATTTGCTCTTATATATATATATATATATATAGTAATAATGTACGTAGACAGTTTCGAGGACTTGCCTCTATAATTTAGAGTTAGTGCAACGAAATTCAGGTTGTCTGCCGTTGCGTTGAATATTTCAAATTACGGAAAGAGCTTTTCTCCCACGGAGTTTTCGTAAATTTCAGAAATTTGTTTTGTACATTTGGTTAATAAATTCGCGACAATAAATTAAAAAAAAAAAATCTGTTGCGATGAATACTTTTAGAGTGATGTATTTGCGTGCGCGCACGGAACTATCAAAAATTGTATTTTGCGTTTCTTGTTCTCGAACGAAATTGGCGAAAAATGACGTTTGAAAAAAAATTCGTCCGGCGCGTTCGAATTGCCGAAGTCATTGTAACGTAAAGCGAACGATCTTTCTTTATTTACATATGCTATGCACCAATTTTGATCGATTTGCTTCGCGCGTTCTTTTTTTTTTTTCATCGAAATTGGCCTGATGTTCGAAATGTCATCGTTGTGTTGTCTACGTACGCCGCGATGCGTAAAGCTCGCTCGTACTTTCTCAAGCAAACCGACTCTGTTACTAAAACAGTGTGCGCACAGTTTGAAATATCATTGGAAAATTTTCTTCCGAAGAATATCGCACTTTCACGTGGTGTTAAATCGGATCGCGTTGCACTCGGCGTGGTGGTAACATTGATTCGCGTAGAAGTAATTGTTTCAACGTCGCCGTGAGAACACCCGACGCGTCACAAACGAGTCATCTGGGATATATCGCAGTTGAAGGCCGATCGTAAAGACGACGAGAACGGTATTGAGTTGGCCGGTGCTTATACTCGCACCTTTTGCACGCTATCGTGTTTTTGTGTCCCGCGCGGATACAAAGAGTATTATGCAACGCGATTCGCGCAGGATGGTCGAACGATTGCACAATCGTTCGGCAAGAGTGTCAGGGACCAAGTCGCGTTTCCGCTAAGTTTATTGCTCGTCGTCTCAGATAGTTTCGACAAATTGAAAGATAAGCCTTTAAAACTTAATTTTTTTTTGTCGATACACTTACGAGTATCTCAACTTGATCTCGTAAAACATAATCTTGGACGACGCTTGGCACGTTATTTCACTTTGTATATTAAACGGATATGTTTCTAATTTCATTAGCAAGTTTTAATTCTATCGAGCGATAAGTAAGAGAGCAGCTCTCGCAATGGAGAACTAACGCTAATTGGATACTGCAAACGTTAATTGGATACTAATTGAGTTCAATATAGATTGTAATTTTCCAAGTTATGGTATGTACATTGTTGAGAGAAGTAGATATCTCTTTTCGCTTCCATGCAACTTGTGCGAGAGAAAAAAGAGCGATTGTGTTCGTTCGAAAAATATTTTACTTCTAAGTCTCCAAAAATCTTTGCGTTTTTTCTCGAAGAATATATTTACGATAAATATAACACCAAAGAATTACGAAAAATGGTTTTAAATAAGTTTTGAGAGAAAATAGTTTTCGAGAATTAACAAACTATAAAAAAAAGACCGGTTATTAGCGAGATCATTTAGTAAGTTCCAAATTTGATTGAAAAATCAAGTTTCGACGCGATCACAAACTTTTTTGGGACGAGTCACAGGGAAAACGGTCGGCGAACTATATATCGTCGGTTTTCGATCGAGTAAAGGAACCGATGAGCCAAGTAATGCGAATTAGTTTAATCGGCTCTCCATGCGATCGATTCGACGATCCTTCATCCGCCTTGCACGTCTCAACGCTCACTTGCAGAATTGCTCCTTGCATTCTCTCGACCTAAGGGCACGTCGAAGTAATTATGACGTTAATGACTTATTAATTCCCGACGGGGATGTGTGTGTGCTATCTTTAAGCTATCGGCGATATAGAATTACTTCGTTTAATTATATACGACTATGTCATTCTGTTGTTTCGCAAACATTATTTCTCGTATAATCGAAACAACGTTTTATCACAGCGAGACGAAAACAATAAGAAAGTGTTCATATTCCATCGTGAAAATTTAAATGACGCGCGCGCTTTCTTTTCAGGATTTATTGAGGCTTCAAGAACTTTACGAAGTATTTTACTTTGTTTCTTTCTTTTTTTTTTTTACGTACAAACTACTTCTTCGCAAAAGAATAGTATGCTCGATACATATCTTCTTCTCACACAACGTTCCATGTAGAGATTACTTACGACGTTGATTCGACTAACCCAATATATGTATAAAAAAAAAAAAAAAGCACCATTTTATTTCCGCCCGAACTTTTGTGAAAATGTGAAACAACAGATACGCAACATCCACTTTTCTGTTGCAGATTTATCCGAGTTTAAAGGAGGAAGGCTCGGTCTTGGGAGGCGCCACGCAGCGAGTTACGAGGTACGCGCCGTTTTTCCTCTTGTTCTTGAAACTTTATTCGCGCATACTTTTCCCGATTACAAGTCGCAAACGAGCAGCACGCACGTGCGCGCGCGCGCGCGCGCAAAGTTTATCGGCTACCGTGTATAACAAGGCTCTCGGCGTCGCTTTTAAGAGTCACGTCGCCGGTAATTTCGCTCACGGTTATTGCCAAGAGCGCACATCATCGTTGCTGTTAATTGCGCGGGAACGTGGCTCGGAGATAATCACTTAGAGGCGGCTGGGGAATACAATCCATGCGACCATATTAATTCGGAGAAGAGATATACCTTCTGAACCGATAGAAAGCGACGAGAAGTTGCCTTTTCGTGACCTGGAGAAAATTTTATTACACGCGTATGCATTAATGTAATTAATGCACATACCACCGTTTTCTAGATATAATATTTATACGTAAGAAATACACACACGGTATAAAGGAATTTATGAAACAAGTTTAGAATTTGAATCGAACAATTTTTAATGGACTTACCGGACGAGTAATCGCGCTATACATACATATTTCATCGTGTGTATAGTTATTACGAAATATCGGGCTGGCCAATAAGTAACGTCGATCTGCAAAATATATGTTTCAAGATATGTTTTGCTGAAAAAGATGAGAAATTCTGGAAGGATGGTGTTATGAAGTTACTTGCAAGATGGTCAAAATGATCAATACATTATTGAATAAAGTTTTTTATACTTAAAAAAATTATTTTGGTTTTTTATCGAAAATTCCGACATTACTTATTTTGGGCCAACACAATACTTGCGGTAGGAAATTATTTTCCCGACCGTAATTGAGACGAGGTATCACAATCTCACAAGTCGGTGAAAATTATTCTATTCAAATGAATGATGTTATTTCTAATACGCGCGTCAGAGAGTTGATACGCAATATCGCGATTGTGATCTTTTCTTGATCGCGGCAATAAATCACGATAGCCCACATAAAGAGGAAAGAAACGCAATTTCCTGAAGAGGCCAACACCTTCCAAGTGAAACTTAAACAAACCGAAAGTGTAATCGTCATCGTTGAAGGTGAATCTAGCTTGACAATGAATCGAGAAGTGACGAAGCGCGCGCGGACTCAATCCATAAATGGTCAGGCTCTCAAGTGAGAGAATAGCGAACGCGTCGCAATTTTATTTTTGTTTCGGTCACAGCGTCGAAATCAAGTCGTTGATGTGACATTCAGTTCTCGGTTTTTGTTGATGATAAGAGAAAATTATCTAGCAAAATTTAAATATCTATCTGAGAAAATAGTCATACGATGTCAGACAAAACTAATTTGTCGATCAGAGATGATTAATTTGATGTTTTTATACCTATTCTACTAACAAATGAGAAATAAGTAAAACCGCGTTAGTGTCATTTTTATATTGGCGAGCCTGATACTCTATCAGGCTGCTCTTGAAACACTGATGAAGTGAGCTAAAATGTTCACGAAACGTCGGTATAAAAAAATGACACTAACGCGATTCAAACTTAAAAAACATCTTCGGATGTTAATACAACACACTGCGAAAGCAAAAAAAAGAAAAAAAATCAAATATCAGATCCTTAATTTTATTTACAAAATCGAAACTATTGTCTATAATTATATATCGATAAAGAATATTTTTAGAACTCGGACATGATGCAATATGTCACACGTTAAATGCGCGACGCGTTAAGCGAGCAGAACAGTGATCTCTTGGTTCTCTCATTATCGTGAAAAAGGATCTACGGTCATATGACAGGTTATCCCACATTCAGACAGCTTTTAGGCCGTGTGACAGTGAATCCACACAACGATGATCGAGCGTGGGTCGAAGTTTTGGCTTGTTCCCCGTCCTACGCCTCGCGTTTCAACACGATTCCTTTTCAGGATCAGTAGAACGTCTGCAGGTGCGAAAATTCAAAACATTGATCGAAGCTAAAAACGTAACTTTAAATTGTTGATTTTATTGTTATATTTTATATCTAACTAATTAAAAAAAAAGCAATTAAAAAATTCTCCATTTTATGATTAAATAAACAATAAAGTGTCTAAATTAAAGGTCATGTAAACACGAGCATTTACTTTGCATATGTAAGTTTCAATTTGTTTGAAAATAAGTTTCAATTTGTTTGAAAATAAGTTTCAATTTGTTTTTAAGTATTTAAGTATTTTACATTGTAAGAGAGTGGCGAGAGAAAAAACGTACAATCACGCAAGTCCGAATTTTCCCGTGTTGAGAAAATAAACTTTTGCGTAATCAAACAGAACAGTGAGTTTATTATATTGAACGTTATAAAAACGTGACAATATTTTAAATCCACCGATAAATCAGCGTGCGCTACACATTGCTTTCTCATTAATTTATTTCGGAATCTAATTTTAAAAAAATGTTAGTTTCACAACCTACAACACGTTATGCATATTTTATGAGAACCGCGGAGTGCTACTTTAGGCAATTTAACAGGAACTCTAAGGTACTGCTCAATTATCGGTATTCTTCGAAGGAATCTACTTTCTCTCTTCGATCTTTTTTTTCTAACGACCGCACGCGGCGTTACCACGCGCCACTTCAATTATATTTTTTATCGTATCGGGAACGATTAAACCGATCGATAAGTTTACCGCGGTAGAGTAACTATCAAGTGACTGTGGCTCTCGTCATAAAACACACACACACACACGAGTGAGTTAATATCTCTAATTTGTTGCCAAATGTATCTTGTAGTTACACAAACGTTTTTATCACATTACGTTACCATCTATATATCAGTATCTACAATACAGTAAATTATCATGTTAACATAAGTGTGTGTGCTTATAATAATAGCTTGCAATTGTCTGATCGGAGAGATCTGCAGATCACATTTCTGCTCAAAACTTCAGTTAAATACGTAAAATTTTTTTTTTTTTTACAGTTATGAATGAATAAATTTTTCATTACGCGGGAATATTAAAAGTGATCATGCAGTAAACCGAGAATGTTCAGTGAAAAAAAGATTCTTCGAAACTTACACGGTATAATAACGTTAATGGTCAATTTCTGTGCGAGTTATATCGACGGCAAAGGTTCATTTTGTCGATAAAATTTATTAATTACACGCCTTGCGTAATAACCAAAACGAGAACATGTTGCGAAATTACGGGACTCGGTAATTTTATAATAGTTCAGCAACTGTGTGGCAAGATATTCTTCATGGCGCACCGTTACTCTTCATGAACATTGACCTTTTGTTTATCGTCAGATCGTAATTAACGGCACAGATAGCAATGTTTATTTTCGCATTAGAGCTGACGCAAGCAACATTAAGAGAGACAAAATGCCGCGTAGTTTAAGCATAATGGTACTTTATCGTTAATCATTCTCGCACAATTATCGGCGAGAAAGTGCAGAAAATTCTAACTTACTGTAAATAGATCGCATCGATCATTCATTCGACTTATCGTGTGCAAACATATTGCACAAAATGCATAACGAAGGTCAAGAAGTAATAAATGCTCGTTAAAAAAAATAAAAACTATGTAGCTTACAAAGTATGTATTTGTTATTTGAAAAAATACGAACTAGAGAATGAGAGAAAGATTTAACAATGATTATATTACTCAAAATTCTTTCAGATTGACATTTTTGACGCTCTTAAAAAAAGAAACATAAATTAACGGGCAATTAAGCGTTTCAAGCAAAAAATTTGCGAACGTTGAAAAAATAGCTGATTATATTAAGTGATATATAATAATATCACGTTCATATATAACGTTAAAAACATGCAGATTTTATGAATCTGGCTCTGGTAAAACTCGCGCGCAGCGGAAATATGCTTATAATAATCCACTCGTGGCATGAATTGCTTCGACAATGTGAATTTTAATTCACTTGAGCTCGCAAGAGAGACAAGGACGAGGATTTCGCGTAAATTATTCGAGTACGCCGAAGCATAAATTACGATGCATCGGCTCGCATGTATGTGCACCGGTTAACATGGTAAATAAACTCGCGCGCGTCATATGTTGTTACGCGGCGCTTCGTTAGTGTGCACCGAGCAATCACGCGTCCACACATTTTGATATCCATTAAGTGAAGAGAATAGAACATTGTTTATTCGGTTGTTCTACTTTTAACACTACAATATAATGCGTAACGTTATTAAAAGGCGTCATTTTCATAAAGTTACGATATTGTACCCTACTATAATTACGGCGACCATATTTTTTTGAAGAAAAAAAAAATATATATATATATATATATATTTTTTTTTTAATATGGTCGCCGTAGTTATAATAGCGTAAAATATCGTAACTTTATGATATTTATATATATATATATAAAGGACAACTTATATATAGAAATTGTTTTACAATAAAAAAGAGCACGTTTATTTGTTAGACTAAAATTAAAAAACTTTATAATATTTATTATAAATAATAATAAGCATATAATAAGCATATATATGTAATATATAGGATTTTAAACAATATATTACTGAAACAATATATAATACTTAAATAATATTACTTAAAAAAATATTATATTATCATAAAAATATGTTATTTCTTAAAAAAATTGTAATCTTGTGATACTTTTCAACACAAATTAACTTTTTTTAATCAATCAGGTATGTGTTAAAAATTCACAAAACTATATACAGTTTATGTCAAAATTGCATTTGGTATAAAAATCAGGGTTGTTAGTGTATAATACATTGAGTATAATACATAATCTTATAGATGTATAAAATACGTATTATACATTGGCAGTTTTTGACATGTAAAAAATGGCAACACATATACAAATATTTCGTAAATTACAATTTTAATTTTGTACCTTTTATACAATTCTTTAGTTTTTGATTTTAAATTAATATAAATTAATTTTTAATATTAAAAAAAGTTTTTTATAAAATATTTACTACTGGAATGAGATAAAAATGTAAAGCAAAAAACAAACAATGAGCAAGAAGTAATGAAGAAACAAGCACATTGATGACCATTGCAAAACGTGAACATTTAAATGCCAAAATAAACAAAAGTCATTTTAATATAGTACCTCAGTAAATTATTATTATTTCTGCTAATGTGTGGAGGACAGGAAATAATGAAAAAGTAATTTTTTAAACATAAGTAAATTTATTAATTTTACAAAGCGAACTGTGTTACATCAAACAAACTATATTCAAAAGAAGATAACGTAAACTTTAAAGAAGAAACTTTTAAAGCCATTAAAGTGGCAGTTACTGCATGTTATTATAATTTAATAGTTTCTTCATATCTATAGTATCTTAATATAGTAAAATACTCATTAGTCACACACACACACATACATATGTCATATACAGGGTGATCCAGAACAATTCTTTATTCTTGAAAATACATATTCTTGACTAAATTCTAGAACAACTTTTTATTTGACAAAATTTTGTTTGAAGCTTACTTTTATAATTTATTTTAATATGAACTTTTTGGAGAGAACATGAGTAATATTGTTTCTGAAGATAGGAAAATGACTTACAACGAAAATGACGACTGCTCACGCGATCTATTACGCCATCAAGTGACATATGATAGTAAAAAGGCCTACTAACGTTACTAATACTGTAATAATTAAAACCTTGGAAGAAAAGACATAGTATACACTTTAATACATAATATACAGAGTATTTTACATTCCGTATGTATTATACACAAAATATGTATAATACGTATAATACGATGTTTAATACATGTATTTATTCCCTGAATAAGATACAAAATGTAATATACTTTTTTGACATTTTTATACATAAAGGATAAAGGATAAAGGAAGTTTAATTGATTTAGGGTTACAATATTTTTCAACACTCCACTTCTATATCCACGATTCATTTGTATCCACGATCTATTCGGAGGCCCGATTCAGTTCGCTTTTCAATCGATAAAAATTCGACTTGAAAGGGACCGGCCCGAAAAAATCCGACGGTGTGGATTCGAACTCGGGAGCTCCCACTCGCAGCCCTCGCACTCAGGCCGCGAGACCACTGGGCCGGTGACATTTTTATACATATTATACTTAATTTTATACGCGTAACGTATACAAATATTTTATACATACATTTTAACAACCCTGATAAAAATACATGCTTCTAATGTGATTTTTACTTAAATTTTTTCACTGGCACATGTGTAATATACTAATAAAAATACTTGCTCAGTTAGATTCAGAAGCGTTAGATCTAGGAAAACAGAAGCAAAATTTAATGTAATTTTAAAATGTTTTTAAAAAATACGTGCTTATCTGTTTAAAATATTAAAAAATTTCAACCCATTTATGTCGGCAGGTTTCATTTTATAAAATAAAGGACATTTCACAAAGTAAAAGACAAAATGACCATTTAAAAAAAAAATAAATCTAAAGAACACAGCAACAAGATATAAAGGACTGTTCTCTTAAATATAGGACGTATGGTCACCGTAACTATATAATACAAGCTCAAGAATTTAAAGATAATAATACAATTCTCTTTCTTTTCATTTTAAATGTTAGCTCGATACAAGTTAAATCGCGAGAAAAGAAGTTCAGAGGAGAGAGAGAGAGAGAGAGAGAGAGAGAGAGAGAGAGAGAGAGAGAGAGAGAGAGAGANAGAGAGAGAGAGAGAGAGAGAGAGAGAGAGAGAGAGAGAGAGAGAGAGAGAGAGAGACCAATTTCTTCTTTTTCAAGTGAATTTTTCTTTTCTCTGCAAATATTTTCAAATCGTTCGCGTGCACCGGAGTATTCCGGCACGAAGTTGAAAAGCACCTTTCTCGTGTGCGAGAAGAAGAAGGTTTGTATAAGTGAAATTCCAGTAATGTCTCGCGTCCCGAAAGAGTTATAGCTCGAAAGACGCGAGGAAACGCGGAATGCATTTGCGATAAACATACGAAGCTTCACGCCACGAACGCGTAGCGCGATCCCAAGATTATTTCGGCACATCGCACACTGCGATGCGGTTCTGACGGACACAAATTGTTTTCCGGCACAAGATTAACAAAGTCAATATCTTACTTTACTTTACTCCACGCATGCGTATCGCATGCAATGCAACACAAAAATACATTCGCTGACGAGCACTTCTTCCTAATTGTTTTTTTTTTTTTTTTTTTATATACACATCACTGGTCTATCATTAAGGAAGAAGTGATCAGCGACGTTCTTGATCAATGACGTGTATATCGTGATGGATTTCCACGAACCTGATGATAGCTCGCGAGCGGGGTGATCGATTGCATCGTATCAGGTTCGATATCGTTCTCGGTGGTGTTATGTATTTTACATTCGCGCTCCCGTACGATATAGCGCGTCGTCTATCGATGCAGGCGCATCATGCGCGAGAGAAGCAGATTCACTTAATCTTTTTCTGCGCACAGTTCAGAAATAGGATATGCCGGCTCACCACCGAAGGAGGCACTCACAAGGGGACGCAGCATAGATTCCGTGGACAGACCTTTTCATCCCAGTGACTGGGTGGACGTTAATCTGGAAGTGCCTAGCCCGCCAAGAGCGAGCTCGACTCTCACCAATTCGATCGTCGACATTAGCCTGTACCGCGCCGTTACACCCACGTCCAGCTGTAAGCTCGTAATTTATTGTCAGATAGCGCGGACGGGGAGTACTCGTTAGAGTACAAGCGGAGAACGCGTGACGGCGAAACGAAACGCAATTACGATGGTGCACAAAATGCAATGACGATGAAAAATATTTGGTCAAAAAGTTCTTATTTAATATTTTGTTCGTACACAAAAAACGATAAATTTTGTCAACGCGAAATTTAAAAACGGTCACGAGAGCCTTACGCTGTTGCGTAATAAATAAATATATATATATATATATATAATATATACATATTATTTGTTTCTTTTTGTGTAAATTTTTACGCGTGAGTTTGAATTGAATTTTCAATTTCTAAATTTTCATATAGGATGCTATTTTGCATCACGTATATGAGAAATCCCCGTTTACCCTTCTATCTAATTTTAAAATATTGCGAAAAAAACACCTCGGCCAGAAGTCGAACCTGGAATCTCCGGCTTTCCGTGCCACGGCACGGAATTTCTCATATACGTGATGCAAAATAGCATTCTATATGAATTTAGGAATTGAAAATTCAATTCAAACTAACGTAAACATTTACACAAAAAGAAACATAAACATATGTATATATATATATATATGTATATTTATTTATTTATTCCGTAACAAACATCCGGCGTAAGGCTCTCATGACCGTTTGAATTTCGCGCAATCAGTTTGAAACTTAAGAGCCTGAACTCTTCATTAATTGATCAATTTTTTTGTACCTTGAGTACGCGTAAAGAGTGCGTGCTAACTATTTGTTTGAATAAATAAATGTTTGTCGTTGCTGCAGGTTCCAATCTAAAAGATATCACTCCGGTACCACCTCCGAGACGAAAAAAAAGAAACAGGAGCAGACCTTTGCCGCCGAAACCGGACGAGATTCATGAGAACGTAACCGATAATTTAAGACGCGACGATGAACCGTTATGCTCGTTGGCCAAGTCACCGAAGACGAGTGGCGATGATGATCCGGACAATAATGTTGAGATGCGGAAAACAGGGAAGGAAGATCCAAAGCATGAAGGGCGACGAACGAAAGAGATATACGAGCATAAAGTAAAATTTACTTATCGCAAATTAACACATTTTTTTTCTCTTTTTTTTTAAATATCCTATGTCGAAATTATCGATTGATTATAATGCACACATCATTTAATTTACATATTAAAAATATAAAAAGTCTTTCGCAACGTGCTAGAAACTATGTTAATTTTCAAAAGCCTATCTATTCGATTTCTATCTATTCGATAACGAAAGTAATGACTTCCCTCGGCGCAGGTTAACGGGACCGGAAGAATAATATCCAGCGACGTGGTTTCCGGCAAGAGAACGTCCGACAAGAAAACTTGGAGGAGTTCGGAGCCGAGCCAGCATCACAGGAAAGTTCTCGAGAACGAGGAATACGAGAGATTCGCCTGGAGCCAGTCGATCAAGGACTCTTCGACTCCTAATCGTCAGGACAGACGGAAGTCGAAGGAGCTCGAGAAGCGGATCAGGGATTCCTCGAGAGACGATGAAAGACCGGAAGCAAATACAAGGACAAAGAACTACAGCACCGTTAGCCTGCCGAATTACGATGAGTTGGACGTACCTGGTCGTTCGGCGAAAGACGAAAAATGCGCGAGGGAAAAAATTAAGCCGAGGCGACCAGTCAGAAGCAGCACTGGCTCGCTTCCGGCCGAATCCTTCCTCTCACCTTTCTCCGAGGTATAATAATATTTTTAGGTATAATAATATTTTTTTTAGTATAATAATATTCTGTCAAATTTTATTTTATCATTTTTTATTATATCAGTCGAAACAAATCAATCGCAGTGATTTCACAACGACAAAGTACAAAATACATATAGAAAAAAATTATATCATAAGCGTATAAATATTTTTCCAATTTTTGTCAAATTTAAAGAAGAAATTGTTTGATTTTTGTTTATATTGTTGCAAAGTGTAAATTCTAAAAATGCAGGAAAACAAACTTATTGAACTTTTATTTAAATATATATATTTATGTATACATATATATATATATATATATATATATAATGTATATATCATCTTCGATTAAAGAAAACTAGTGTTCACCTGGAAGACTATATTCCGCGACGTGGCAGCATAGAGCACTTGTCGCCGTATCAGGTGCTCGGGAGGCTGAGTTCCAGTGAGAATGAGGTTACCGATGGCGGATTCATGAAGTACGATCCGAGTAAATTGGAGGATTGGGACCTCAGCGACATCAGTAATTGCGACTCGAACCAGCGTCTCTCCGCTGAGGTACGTTTACAACACGAGCCGTGTGAAAATCGATATTAACCTTTTACATCGTGCCATTTTTCTGACAAAGAAACGGCTTGCGAGAGAAATGTGAAATTTTCACTTTTCTAAAACAAAGTCAAGTTTAATAAAACTTGGCAGTTTTAAGATAAAAGAATTTATTATTTTTTAATTTTTTTATGAATTAATTAATTTATATGGGTCAATTGCGTATAACAAAAATTAATTCGTAATTTTTTGAACATTTTTTTAACTTTAGAATTTAACACGAATCCGTAACGACGAATCCGTGCAAAAAAAGTTTTCTGATGGTGTGGACGTTGTTGATTGTTCGCAAAATATCGGAACCGGAGAAGCTGAAACGGTCGAGATCGAAATCTCGTGCGTTCGTCGAGATACGACTTCGCCATTGCAAAAACCCGAATCTTTCGGCAAGGCACCGTCTCCGATACTCGAATGCGATACAAAATCGATATCTCTTGACGATTGGTTTATAAATCAAAACAGGTATTGAGATCAATATAATATTGTCAAAAATTAGTGCGTCTTTCGAAATACGTGACATATATATATATATATATATCAAATACATAAATTTATTACATTGTTAAGGTACTTTGATCCTCCCAAGATGTCAGAGATCTGTCAGGTATCACCTGCTTGCAAGCTAGCGACGTCGCCAATTCGTAGAGAACCATTTTTTCTAAATGAGGAACTTCATCGATCGGCTTTAGGTAAATATTTAATATATAATACAACAACAGTTTTATCGTTCTCTCTCTCTCTCTCTCTCTCTCTCTCTCTCTTTCTCTTGAGAAATTTAATTAATTAATTAATGCTATAGTTGGTCATCTCGAAAGCTTTGTGTCATAAAAATCAAATGTTAAAAATAAACTTAATGTAATACAGTAGTTTCAATGTTATTCCGTTGTTATTGTTAGTCCGTTGTTAGCATCTTCGACCACAAATTCTCTTAACTTGAAATCCCATCGTGATCTTACACCGTCTCAAAGTTCCGTAAAACCCGAAGTAAACGGCTCGAAACGAATCTCAATTCGCGGAAGAAGTGACGATGAGTGAAATTTCCTCTCCCTATTTACAAGAAATCGTTGGCTATGTAAACCGAATATATGTCCGACCGCAACCACATCACCGCGCATCTCCTTTCTCATCTCATCTCCTCCGTCCTTCTTCTCTGTCGCACTTATTCTGCTTTTGGATTCTATCCCAAACGGTTCGAGCAATCGTCTGGAGTGTAGAAGGTACCCAACTATTCGCGTACGTGACTAGTTAAACCGCGGACGTTCCATTTGGCAGATACGATCGGAGGGTCCTGCAGGAACGGCACCGTCGTCCGAGAATCCGATCGATTCGACCAATCGAGGCTGATCTTCGGCCGTAGCCTGTCGAACGAAAGCGAGCCGTACGACGATCCGTATGAGTCCAAGGAGCTACGCGCACATTCCGACGTAACGAACAAGTTAATCAGAACAATATCGGAGGAGTCGCTGCCGCAGGAGATGCTCGAGGGAGTAGACGAGGAGATTGTCGATTTCTTTGACGAGAAGTTGGCCAAGGACACGACTAACAGATTAAAAAAAGATTGCCAGGATCAGCGAACGAAGACGCCGCCGCCCAGTCCGGAGCCAAAGATCAAAGCCCAGATTCTTGATAACGATCATTCGACTCTGCTGAAAGTGTTAAACGACGACGCTGCCGATGGAAGCAATCTTAGCTCAATGACGCCGAGTCTCACCGAGCTCGAGGTCGCGCTTTCGGACATGCTGGAGAAGGAGGATCATCCCGAAATCGCGAAACAAAACGACACAGACGAAGAGCGGTGCAAACAAAGCTCGGTGACGGAGAAACTTCTCGAACCGAAGATCGTACCTGTGGAAAAGCAGAAATCAGTCGACGGAAGTGCGACGGATCAACATCGCTCAGCGAGCGATGACATTCTAGTCGATCGAATATTTGAACCGAAGACAGAACAGTTGTCGGTATCTCTCGAGCAAATCCTCGGAGATTCGAAATCGACACCGACGAAGAAGCGGAAAGTGTCCTTCTGCGCCTGGGAAGAGAAAGTCATGATGGAGACGGAGAACGGCGACGCGTCTGAAAACACAGACGAGGCGACAAATACTGATAAAAAATTTGTCGTTCAGTCGAAACCAGAATCGAGCGCTGATTTGTTCGAGAACATCTGGACTAACACGAAGAGCGGCGAGGTATCTATCGGAGAAACGTCCGAAAACAAATCGTTTCAAAATTTCGAGAACGCAACAGAGAATTCGGAGCAAATTCCCACGCCGCCACGAAGAAAGAACAAAAATTCCGGTGTTATAAAAGAGTCGATCAGGACGATAGAAAATTATCCTGACAATTCTGATCTTCGTCCAAATGACAGACTCATTTAACACTTATCCGACCGGTTCGGAAATGCCGAGCCGCCACGCGCAAATAATCGGCTCGGTAAGCCGTAAGCCGATTAAAAGGCTTCCGGTCGATAAGCGCCGCTAGCAAACTGTCTAATCGTTTTTAAACGATCGGACGATTAATAACTATAGATTGCGTGATCTCGTAATCTTTTTTCTTTTATTGTTATTATGTAACTACAAAATGTTTTGTGCCACATGGATCGTTACTATATGTTTAATTTGTAATTGTTATAAGTTTATTAACAACATCGGCGTCAAATCAATGTAAGAAAAAAACTCGGAGTTCAACACAATAAAAGACATGTAATAACGGTGAAACTAAATGTGTGTTGGTCTTGAAAAAAAAAAACAGCATACTCTATTCGATGGTATATAAAAATCGAACACACAAAAGATGTGAAGTTTTTCTCGCCGATGTTAACCGACGTTTTTATTTATCTTTTTTTTTTTTTTTGTATGCTTTTCGAGAAGCCTGGGATTTGAAAAATATTTTCCATGTAGCGCAAAAGAAATCAAGTTCTTCCGTAGATCATGCGGAGAGGCAAATATTTTCCCATGCGAATATAACAGAAAGAACAAATAGCCAGATCTCCGCGCTGTATATTCGTGTTGAATATTTTTCTCGGATATTTTTCTATATGTGGTAGTTAGATGCGTATTTCGAGTAATCTCTCGAAGAAGTGTCACAAAATGTATTCCCTCCTTCTAGTAAACTTGTCTACCTCTTTAATTTTTCAATGAAATTCGTGCGCGTATCTAAATTACCCACAGAATCATATAAATTTGTTGTTATTAATTATCAACATTCTTGTATAATGTTGTTTAAATTAATTTTTATTGTTTATTATTTCACCACAAATTAACATTGTTATCTTTCGTTATCTTTATAGATCTATTTCACAGTTTTATCGATTTCTTACTTATCTTTACAGAAAACATGATGTTTATATCAATTTTATTATCAAAGTAAGTGTTTTGTTAACAAAATTATTATTGTTTATCGAATCACCGTTACACGTTGATATATTCGATATATGTGTAAGTTGTCTGTCAGGTTTTAATCTCCATCCGGTCCGGTACACAACACATGATTCGCAAGAAAAGTTGCTAAGAAAGAACCAAGAAAATCGCAGAAAAACCGAAAGACGAAGTTTGTCATTACGGGAGAGCTTTGCGCAATATATCCGGTCGCAACTTAATCTCGTTCACGTTTGAACGACCAAGTCCTTGTAATATATTGTACGTATAGCGAGCGTTTAACTACGCGATAAATTGTTTAATAATGTTTGTTGTATAGTATCAAAACACACAGGCTTTGAAGTAAATAAATCATTTTATTCAATAGCTTTCATTTCTATTTCACATCATTACATTTCGAAAATTGAAGAAAAACTCAAGTTTAAATGTTCAAGTAACAGAAATATTAATAAGAAATATTAATTGTACTTTTGTTTTTAATTCACGTTGATATATTTAATAGAGAAATGTGTTGTAATAATAATAAAAATAAAATAAAGAAACTATCATATGAGAGTAGACACACATATTCTTGTATCTATAATCAATCCATAAAATAGATTTTCCAGTAATATCGATCCTATCCCAAACTCTATGAGCATAACGATTTAACAATGAGAGATTTCTACGTCGCCAAAAAAACTAGTTCTTCATCCTACACAGAAACACGTTTGCATATTATATTTCACAAGTGCAGTTGCATAAAAATTACAAAAAATAAATAGAAAAATATTCAATACTTTTGTTATCTCTATCGGATAGTCAAATAGTATCATATTGTAGCACGCTTCTCGATTCGTGTGTGCTATGACTTTTCTGAATTTAAAAATACTGAAACAAAATGTCCGATTGAAATACTCTCATGTTCTAAATAAATAAAGATAAATAGCGATACTTTCAATAAATCTCAAAAAATTCTTACAGAATTCCATCTAGATATTGTAATTATATAATTACAATATTATATAATAAGAATTGAATGGAATTTATTTGATAGCATCGCATTTAGTATATTGTAACGCAAACTGATATTCATATATTAATTCAACTGTAAATTTGTAATTTTAGGCAAAATTGTGATGGCAAAAGATAAATATAGTACTCCACGTATAAATAATATAAAATGTAAACACACTACTAATATATAGATAAAACAAACATGTACATATGTGCAAGAATATAGATATACAGGGTGTCTGAAAAATTCGGACACAGCCCATTTTGCAAAATTCGCAATAGTTATTAAGTGATTAATTACATGTGATCCAATGCGCTTCGCGCGGTTATCTTTTATTATGTATATGTGATGATATATGCTGTTATATTAGCTCTTCCCTTACGTTGCTATAGGTAAACACTGAACGCGCGTGAGACAGCCTGATGCACGCTCATTCGTAGATCTTTATTAATAAGGATCTCGATAATTATTGCAAATATGTGGTAAAGGATTTTTTTTGACTCAATACGATCTTCTCTATCTGCTCACGAGAGATTGTACGGCAATTACGGGACACCTTGTATATATATATATACAGGGTGTCCGACATTCACTTTAACATCTCTCGTAGACAGATAGAAGGAGTAAAACTGAGTCAAAAAGTCCTGAACCATTTTTTTCTATTACATATAATAAAGGAGTAATTATTGAATAAATCAAGCCAATCAGCGCCGACCTTTAGCCGAACGCACACGTCTGGTGTGCGTGAGCGCTCCGCGCGGCTCACTGACGTAAGCCCGGCTAAAGGTCGGCGCTGATTGACTTGATTTATTCAATAATTACTCCTTTATTATATGTAATAGAAAAAAAATGGTTCAGGACTTTTCGACTCAGTTTTACTCCTTCTACCTGCCTACGAGAGATGTTAAAGTGATTGTCGGACACCCTGTATATCTACATCACGACGATAACAACATTCTCCTATGTATTTGTATTCAATTTAAGTGAAGTATGCAGCGAGTGACACTGTAAATTGGAGATCAGGGTTAACCCACTTGTCTCTTCAAATTCTCAGGATTACCCCAATCTTTTGTAAAGAACTTTGTGAGCAATATGCTCCTGTAGACGGCGTCCAAGCGGCTCGGCGGCATCGCGGTGAGTGAGGAATACGTGTCGAATTTTTATTGTCACGCACGTGTCACTCGCGAGATATCAGATAATCTCACGTCCTATTTGTGTGCTTTTACATGTTTCGTTAATTTTCAGCGTGCGAAAATCTCTTTCTCGCGGATCCCCAAAAACGTATCGGCTCCTTCACGCGATTAACAATGCGCGCATATTTACAGACACTAACAGACACCGTGATGACATGTGCACACGGATCATACGTGTGAAAAGCCAAAACGAAGACCAATCAAACGACGAACGGATAATCAGGTGCACGCAACGACGAGAATTTGACGCTTGTCGTGAGTTTTGGCTCGCGTAAGTACGAATTGATTCAGCTTGTAATTTCGTCACTTTTCCTACGTATAGTTCTCTGTAACTCCAAACCGCAAATTTTAGAGGAGAGCAGTTTAAAAGTTTAAAGGTTCATATAGTTTCCCCAGTTAAGGGATCTTTCGGTTTTAAATTTTTACCTTATGAATATTTTTGTTTGCTATTTGGTGATCATAAAGAACATGACTTTCTAAGTGTCCCTATGCAATAAACTGAAAATTTGATATGTAACACTTATACAATTATACGTACGGAGTGACGATTTCTTGTCGCATTCAGCACAACTCAGTTCTTAGTATTCATTATTTATGCTACTTTTCCGACAGTTTTACGTACATTCTTAAATGTTTTTTTTCTCTGCGAAACACGAGGACTGCTTAAATCTGTCGGCAAACCATAAAAATCACCAAAAGACATTTAGCAGAAAATCTTTCAAAAGTTACAAAACAGTTTAGTTCTGTTGGAATGGGTGGAAGAAAAAAACTACAGTTTTGATAACGATTTTGGGACAATCTTTATTTCTTACTTATATGACAATATCACACAGCAGTAACAAGTCATTGCGATGTTAACGTACTTCGACTCCCATATTTTCTCTTTTAACATATAATAAAGACAATCACATTTTAAAAGTAGATCTAAAATAAATAATTTTTAATGCTAAAAATGTCTTTATTTATAAATAATTTTTATAAAAATAAATTTGATGTCTAACATTTCTGGTCTTCTTCAGAGCGTAGACGAGAAATAAGTAATTTAAAAAATCATAATGTTTATAAGTGATATGTTGTGCAGAAAATAACTCTGTCAAATTCTACACAAAAAAAAAAAAAAAAAAAAAACAAAAATATACATTTAACGCGATTAAGAAAGTCTTACACAGTAATAAACAAATATTGAGTGATAATTGTTCACCAATGTCAAAATAAGAAGAAATTCTTTGATTACTTTCAATTGAATTTTGTTTCATGTAATATGCCAATTATAAATTTGTTGAAAACTTCTCTTACAATAGACACCTTCAAACCATATTTTAAAATAAATCTGCAAATAATAAAAAAGTAGTAAAGTATGTTTCATAATTCGCTGATGAATATACGATAGTTATGACTGAATATATAAGTGTTGATGAAATTATCAATAAGAATGGATTACATCTATTAATCTTTTATATAGTAACAGAGAGAGATCCGTCTTATTAAAACATTCTAAAATAAAAATGTTCAGATCTGTCGAAGTTGTATATTAGTAGTCTTCCAGAATATTTATCACACTATTTGATATTAAATAAAATATTGAAACATGCATTTATCAAATCAAATTTTATCGCCACGTATGTCAGTATAATATCCATTCTTATTGATAATTTATCTTAAGTATAAAACATCAATAACGATTTCTACGTCGTAAGTTTTTCTACGTCTTTAATAAGTCGCGAACTTGTTAATTTTTGCATTGACATTGAGATCCATTGCGCAATAAGATAGACTATGAACAGACAATAGTTATTATCATTAATTTAAATAAGTGTTTCCTATACGTAATTGTCCTTGTGAGAGAGCTATAATTTTGATCAAAAAAAACTTCTATAATGCCAGTCTAGTTCATAAATATATGTAAAACTCTACATATATATATATATTTGTCTTATAAAAACATCCTAAAATAAAAAATTTATTTACATATTATATGATACAACGCGCGCGCGTGTGTAATGTATGTATAATCGATAGTCTAAGTAAAACAATTCTCGTAAAAATTACTGTATTAAAAATTCATTTGCAGTTATGCACTAAATTTTTATACTCACTTGTAAATCTTGTAAGCGATCCATTCTGAATAACTGAGAGACGCGTACAAACGCGTCATATTTAAATCTAATAAATCCATGGCGATCAGTAACATGGACTTGTAAGGCATATACACGTAAGGATAGAAATTCATAGGCTCGATCAAGCATTTCGTCATGTGCTCCCATTCGACCGTGGCATTCTTAAGACAAGGCTTCACCCAATATTCGTTATAATCCCGTAAGCGTTGTTTTATTTCTGCCAAATTGCCACGACAAAAGTTGTACCTGATGATTTGGTATGACATTAGTGACGCAAGACATTTTACAGAGTGTGCAATAAAAAATACAATCACGTGCGCATGTAGGGCGTACGTATAATTTATGTGCATTCTCTCTCTTAAATATTGCTTACTCGTCCTCTAATCCAAGATAATATCCATAGCATCTCCACATGTGACAGAAGGCTTCTATATCTTCGTCGGTTGCATTGTGCACTCCCAAGTCTTGCGGACGAAGAACGATCATGCTCACAAAACTAGCCTGCGTGACTGCTATGTCCGTATTATTTATACCTTTCGGTTTGTACGGCGAGTTATCTAAAGGGAAAATACACTGTCCGGGTTTCTCAAAAGGACACGCAGCGGCAAAATCTTTCAAAAGCATCTCGTGATCCGAACATCGTAACTCCGCGAGTGTGGCCGCGGCGTCAATTTGCTCGTTATCGAGTTGGCACAATTTGTTCCTCATTAACAAATGATATTTATTCGCAATTTGCATGTCTTTGTAGGCTTGCGTTCCTTTGACCCAAGGTTCTCCAAAATACCAGCTGGATATTCGCCTCATAGTCGACAAGTATCTTTGAAAATAATTGTTTGCACAATTATTTCGAGAAAAAAAATTTATATATCAGAATATAAATCAGACGCACAACATTGTTGATAAAAAATATAAATAATTCGAAGTGCGCAGTACGTGTAATACGTCGCGAATAGCTCGCGATAATATCAGAAATTAAATATTAAGAGATTGTTATCTTATCTCGCGTTATTATGTTTCAAATGTAAAACTTTATATGTTTTATTAATTATTAATAAAATTATACACGCGATATGTGAAATACCTTTTGAAACCCAATTGTAGCGTATGACTGTTTCCTCCTATAATAATCGGTTTTAGAGCATCGATGAAACAATACACGTGAACGATACTTATCAGTTTGCTGACAGTAATTGCCGAAACATTTTCTCGTACAAGCTTTTGTCCTCTGCGATACTTTTCTATATCCAGCCATTCGGGCGTCTCCACCGGAGATCGATCAAACTTAATTTGGCGAAAGATAGCGGTCACGTGTCCCAATAACGTTTCCGGCATATTTGGATAAAACTTTCGAAGATTTCCGTTTATCCATTTGTATTGTTCTTTTGTAGTCCACGTATCGAAATCATCGGGAAACAATTTCGGATCAAATGTGCTTTTCATTAGCAACACTTGTTTTTCACATTCGTTTGAGTTTTCACTTTCGTTCGCCAAAGGTTTTGTTATTTTATTCCCAAAACTGGGAGATAGAGATCTGAGCGTCATTTTATAACGACATGCAAAAGGAAACTGACAACTGAATCGTACGCTTGCCCTCCTATTCCGCGCTACATACATGAATAAATATACTGACTCAGATAATAATTTTTTTTCAATACTGGCTCAGATAATAATTTTTTTTTTTTTTGTTTACACACGTCAACGTTATCAAATCGACAATAAGAGTTTTAAATCATACATATCACAGGTTATACGCATAATTTATATGTATAAGAAAAGTGTTTGAGGTATTATTAAAAATAAAAAAATGTGTAATTACCAATAAAAGCAGAAACTAACAATTAATTCTGTCATTATTTTAAATCACATATTGGAGAGTGACTGACTGAAATCAGAATCGGTCTATCTGAGATATAATGTCTTAAAGCAGTATTGCTACCAACTCATTTACATCATTTTTTTACATTATCTTGATACAACCGTTTATTACAAGTAGTTGTTTTTTTTTTTTTTTAACATACTTATTTTGTGTATACATGTTTTTTATGTCGCGACGTTGTTTTTATATTTATACTGGATTAACAAATGCAAAGTTTTTCATGTCATTTGAATGCCTATGAATGTTAAAAAACAAAAATAAAGTAAATACAGTTTAATTAAAGCTTCATTATTGCATACATCGAATTCTTTGCTTCAGTCGTTTTATATGAAATTGAAAGCAACTTCGCGACATGCATATAATTTTAACATAAAAAATCAATAACAGAACAACTCGGCTTGCGCTAACAGAGCACTTGGCGCAAGCCGAGCAAACTAAATTCAAAACCACTTTTTCAGTACAATTATCAACTTTAAACTTTGGACCCACGGCTGAGCTCTCGGTAAACATACACACACACATTAGCCGCTCAAATCGAAGCATCACGCGGCTTGCACGCGGTTTCAAGTCCAAGGCAGACTTGATTCGATTTTACATTATTGAACGCTCGGTTAAGTGTCAATTAATTCAGTTTTACATAATCAAAATAATTAATTAAGTTAATTTCCTCTACAGCGGATAAAACTAATTTATCGACTTAGCTCCCAATAGCAAACTTTCTAAATAATGCTCGAGACAGAAATAGAAGTATATAATTTTTTTTTGTTCTAAGAAATCGTTAAAATATTTTTGAAATTTTTATTTGTTTAAAAATCATTCGAAATGAGTGTTCTGTACTAGTTATGCGCAAGTATTGTTATATTTCTAAGCTATTTCCACAAGCAAACGTAATTGGCAGAGAATTCTTATGTAATTACTCGTGAAAAAATAGATTAGATCTAATTTAAATCTAACGAGATAAAAAAAAATAAAAAAAAAAAAAGGATCTAATTCGATCCACATTAAAAATCTAAAGATATATAAAGTAGATCTAAATAGATTTAAGTAAATTTATGTAAATCTACACTTTATTTATTCTTAAATCTACTTTAGATCTCTCTACTCAGATCTACGATATTAAATTATCTCAGATCTACTTAGATCTATAAGTAGATCTGAAATGATCCAATATAGTAGATCTGAGCAGTATCGTACAGCTTTGACGTCTAATAGTGACTAAAATATTCATTGTTACACACATAATGACCTCGACTTCTAGAACTACAACTTTTTTTAAATTCGTAACGTACTTTGTAACATATTTTGTGTCATTTTACTTGATTATTCCACGTTTTAATTATTTATAGCATGTACACCATTTTATATATATAAAAATTTATTATTGAGAAGGATAGACGATCAAAACATTTGATATTCGATGTTAACTACACATATTAAATTCAACAACACAAACAACAACCATGTTCATGCTCCTAGTGGCCTATCTCACCTTATTTATTTGTATTGAATTACGGAGCATTTCATCACTCTTTTTTTAAAATGATCTCTGTTAAACAAATTAAGAGTGTAAGGCATCAGTGGAAGGAATGCCTTTTAGCAACACTTTTAGCAAACTTTGCTCTTTGATCTGTGATTGGAACGGTATCAAATACGTAACAATAAGCTATCTTCATTTTTTTATCGCATATTACGATAAGAGCGCGACAAAAGTAATGAGTCGTTCAGCGAGACGTATTATAATGCGATATTGACGACTTATTTCTGAAAGATGCGCTTTTAAAACATAATAAGATCATATACGATTGCATTCAGCTTAACACATGCTACAATCTTTTACAAAAATTTTGAAATTTGTGAAAATAATAATGAAAGGTGAGCGTAAATAAAAAATGTTGAATTAAACAAACATTCACCTGCGCGGTTATAAAGTCTAAAAGACCATGTAACTTTTATTTGAAACATTTTTTTATATTTCTTACCGTTTTAAGAACATTTGCATAAAAAAAACCGTTTTTTGTCAATGGAGTGTCGCTCCTTAAACGTGCAAGAAAGCACACAAAAACAATACGGGTCTCTTACTTTTAGTTACTCTACAACATATTCAAAGTTCTGATATTTGATGCTTTCGCGGTGTGTTGTATTAACATACAAAGATGTTTTTCGGGTTTGAACCGCGTTAGTGTTATTCTTATACCGACGTTTCGTGAACATTTCAGCTCACTTCATCAGGATTTAAAGAGCAACCTGTACAGGTACTGATACAATATCAGACTGCTCTCGTCAATTCAAAATTGATGAAAATACGTTTGTCAACAATTTGTCAACGTTTACTTTCACATGGCAAATACAAAAAACTCTTTTTCCGATCGTTTTTAAATAATTATGCAGCAACAAAAAGTCATATAAATCTATTTTTGGGCCACTGACTAGAGCGGGGAAAGAGGAGTTGGGATGACCAGCAATAATTGAAAAATTTAGCTGGATATATAGTATGTCTATAAAATGATTATAAACGTATTTTTCATCAATTTTGAATAAAAATGTGAGATATACTGAAGCACCGAGTAATTTTTTTGCCTTCTAGGCGCCATATTGAAGCCGCCATCTTGATTTTCAAAAAGTACCACGCGGCATTCGACAGATATGATTTAACAAAAATTTTGAGACCTTAAACATCTCGATCCATTGCGCTGAATTTTGGAGAGAGAGGTGATCCGGTTGACGCGTTTTGGGCCATATTATATATTTTATATAATATATAATATACCGAGTATAATATATATATATATAATATATATTGCTAAACAACGAAGAAGAATATTTTTATGGGCATCGAAGTTGTAATTTTGAAAATCAGATCTACTTCGATTTAAATACCTGTTTATGTTCAAAATGAACCACCTTCAGTACGAATGCAGGTCCTTATTATTCTATCAAAATATATTCGAACTGAAGTTATTTATGTTAAAACACAATAAAATAAATTATAATTATGTGAAAAACATTATGATTTTTAAACATAAAAATGGCTCGGAAACGATTTATTTCCGGACCTATGTTTATATAACTTTTTTTCCTTCTTTTTGGATTCCCAATCACTTCCCGAAGTATTTGTAGCGATTTTCCGGACACTCTGTATATATGGCAAATAAGAGATCTTATTTTTTAGTAAGATTTTATTTGTTTGACAGAATAGTGTTGTACTCGGTTCTATCTACATCAGATTACAGCTTCCTACAGTTATTAGTGCTAGTAAAAAGGTTTTTCGAAATACATACGAGATGGAAAATAGTGATATACTTAATAATATTAAATTCGTAAATATGTTCAAAACGTACGCCGGTCAGAATTAACTTCTGAACGAGCTTTATCCTTGGAACGTACACAAACAGTACAGCTGGATAAAGCAAAATGTGTCGGAATTCTTTCCAAATGTACCGCAGTCGTTGTTTAACTTTATTCCGAGTTTTTTTTTGCGAGCTTGATAACAATCCCTCTCTCGCAATACCTGAATGGATGGACATGGACAAGTATCGCAAAGGACAACAATTTGTGAAAAAAATTACTTTGCAATTTTGGTGACTAAAATACTCTGTCTTATACATATGAGCATTTTTATCGACGTAATAAAACTAGGTATCCTTGGTGAACGGTCACATACTCCGTTTTGAAATTTCAAAAGGTAACGGTCTACAGGTTCCGTGCAATACGCGTTAACAAACACGTTATTAATCATAGACATATACATGTATATGTCTATGTTATTAACCGTTTTATTTTACGTTACCATCACATAATAAAGACATGAGATTTTTTTATTAGTAGTGCTACATTGTTGACTTGTATGCAAAGTTGACTACGCATATATTTTATATACATATTTTATATATATATATACAGGGTGTCCCAGAATTGCCGTACAATCTCTAGTAGGCAAGTAGAAGGAGTAAAACTGAGTCGAAAAGTCCTGAACCATTTTTTTCTATTATGTATAATAAAAGAGTAATTATTGAGTAAATCAGGCAAATCAGCGCAGACCTTTAGCCAGACGCACGTCAGTGAGCGCTCACACACACTAGGCGCGCGGCTCACTGACGTGCGTCTGGCTAAAGGTCTGCGCTGATTGGCCTGATTTACTCAATAATTACTCCTTTATTATAAATAATAGAAAAAAATGGTTCAGNATTGGCCTGATTTACTCAATAATTACTCCTTTATTATAAATAATAGAAAAAAATGGTTCAGGACTTTTTGACTCAGTTTTACTCCTTCTACCTGCCTACGAGAGATTGTACGGCAATTCTGGGACACCCTGTATATATATATATATATATTTTTTTTTTGTATATATATTTTATACATAACATGTATATAAAATATATATTGCTAAACAACGAAGAAGAATATTTGTACGGGGATCGAAGTGCGAATTAAAAGACGTAATGTTCTTACAGATCAAAAACATTCATCTTATGATATCTGCAAGCGCTTGATAGAAAAATCTCTGGTACTTTCTTCTGCGATTTCTTATGCAGCTCTGCTAGATGTTCCGGTTTATAGTGCGTTTTCCAATATTTTGTTCGCACACATATTAAAACCAATGATCTTGATGATTGACACTTGAAATGCACAGAGTAATAGGAATCTAAAAATGTAATAATAAATAATTAGATCATATTAAAAGTATTAAACGTCATCAAAAGAAAATGTGTGTCCTTATTTACACAAACGCTAAAAGGAACGACAATAGACATTCGGAATAATGGTCTTGAAAGATCGAGAACAAAATATATCAGACAAAATGCTAATCAATTTTCAGACACTTGTCTACACACGAGTGACAATGAAATTGATAATCGAAAACTAAATAAGTATTAGTGAGATTATTTTGTCTTAATTGTAGTCAGATATAAATAGAAGATAAAAATAACATGTTGTAGTGAAAATATAAATAATAATAACTGATGTCGGATAGATAACAGACTGGCCGTTAGCTGCTGATGGATTGTGTGATAGCTCTGTATAAAAAATTTTGCGCTCGCCATTCCAAAATCATGATTGTGTGATTCCAAATATTTACTATAAAGAACGTAGAATCGTGTGACTTTAAGTTTAAGATACAAGAGTTATTATACTCACGTCCAGACTTTGTAAGCAATCCTTTCTACGTAATTAAGTGACGCATGTAAATGCGTCATTTTTGCATTTATTGCATCTGCAATGAGTAATAAATATACTTTGAAAAGTATATATATTAAAGGAAAGTAATAATTTAAGGATTCGGTCAAACATCTCCTGATATGTTCCTGATATGCTCCTGATATGCTCCAATTCGGGTATGACTTCCACGACAAAAATTGTACCTGACAAATTTTACAGTTTTTTTTTTTTTTTATAAGGAAATCATATCTTAAGTATGTGGAAAATTATGAGACATTTGAAAAGAAGTGTACGTTTTTTATTCCCAGAATACGTCTTTTATTCCCAGAAAATACTCATAAACTCGCCACATGTGGCAGAAGGTGTCAAAATCCTCATTTGTTGCGTTCCGACATGTTTTGGATTAAGCAAGACGTGATATATTATCACGCCTTAAATGCCCGCCTATGTCAGCGTTATTGAAATCTATTGGTCTGTTTGGCTTTGCTGGTTCAGTGATCACGGTGTAAGGACATCCGGTTTTCCCAAACGGGCAAAATCCTTCTGAAGTATTTCACGATCCGGACACCACGGATTTGCGAATGTGCACGCTGCTGCGTCGAATTCGTCGCGAGTCAATCGCGATACTTTGTTTCTTACAGCCGTGTGCATTCTACGTGTTGCTTTTATATTTTCGTAGGCTTGTGAGTCATTATTCCAAGGCTCTCCTTTATGCCAATTTATTATTTTATTTACAGTCGTGCGATATCTGCAAAATATAAAAGATAGGTCAAGTGAAAAGTTGCGGAATATTATCTAATATATACTGAAATATAACTCTAAGCGCGCGCGCAATTATTTTTTGTATACGTAGATAGCATACTAAAAGATTTCAAATAATTTTTTTATCATAGTATCTGATGATAAAATTCCCGTGTTTCGAAAATTTCTTTTTTTCTTACATCGATCGAATTATACAATACACGTTTATGCATTCAGAATTAGTTTTCTAAAATCGTAATAAGTCAAATCTCAAAAAGCATGCGTTAAAAAATATAAAGTTTTGTTTTTTTTTTCAACCCAAAAAAAACCTTATTTTATTTATTTTACCATAGTTGCTAAAGTCTCACAGGTTCCGCGTGCACATACGATGTTCGACTTTGCTCACGCAACTGATTTTGACTTACATTAAATTGGTTATTTTTAATTCTAGTTTATCATTATTTTTTCTGTACTATTATTATTTACTTAACAATCTAACAGACTACTTATTATCTTTATACAAGCCGCTAGACACGTATTTAAAAACAGATAAAATAACAAGATCTTTTAACATTTATCTTCCACATACGATTACTTAATAAGCGTAGTCTACTTATTTTTGCATACAAACCAATGTAGCACTACTAATAAAAAAATCTCATATTTCTATTATGTGATGATTATATAAAATAAAACGATTAATAACACACATTAACATATACATGTATATGTTTATGATTAATAACGTGTTTGTTAACTAAGAAGTATTGCACGCAACTTGTAAACTTTTACCTTTTGAAATTTGAAAACGGAGTATGTGACCGTCCACCAAGGATACTGAATGGTTTTATTACGTCGAGAAAAGTGCTCATATGTATAAGACAGAGTATTTTAGTCACCAAAATTGCAAAGTAATTTTTTTCACAAATTGTTGTCCTTTGCGATACTTGTCCATGTTCATCCATTCAGGTATTGCGAGAGAGGGATTGTTATCAAGCTCGCAAAACAAAACTCGGAATAAAGTTAAACAACGACTGCGATACATTTGGAAAGAATTCCGACACATTTTGCTTTATCCAGCTGTACTGTTTGTCTACGTTCCAAGGATAAAACTCGTTCGGAAGTTAATTCTGACCGGCGTACGTTTTGAACATATTTACGAATTTAATATTATTAAGTATATCACTATTTTCCATTTCGTATGTATTTTGAAAAACCTTTTTACTAGCACTAATAACTGTAGGAAGCTGTAATCTGATGTAGACAGAACCGAGTACAACACTACTCCGTCGAACGGATAAGATCTTACTAAAAATAAGATCTCTTGTTTGTCATATATAGAGAGTGTCCGGACAATCGCTACCAATACTTCGGGAAGTGATCGAGAATCCAAAAAGAAAGAAAAAAAGTTACATAAATAAAGGTTCGGAAATAAGTCGTTTCTGAGTTATAGCCATTTTTATGTTTAAAAATCGTAATGTTTTTCATAATCATAATTTATTTTATTGTGTTTTAACATAAATAACTTCATTTCAAATATATTTTGATAGAAGAATAAAGACCTGGATTCGTGCTGAAGGTGATTATTTGGACATAAACAGGTATTTAAAACGAATTAGATATGATGTTCCAAATGACCATCTTCAGCACGAATGCTGGTCCTTATTATTCTATCAAAATAGTCCGAAATAAAGTTATTTATGTTAAAACACAATAAAATAAATTATGATTATGAAAAAAATACGATTTTTAATTTAAACATAAAAGTGGCTATAACTCGGAACCAACTTATTTTTCCGGATCTATATTTAATTTTTATATTTAATTTTTTTCCTTTCATTTTGGATTCCCAATCACTTCCCGAAGTATTGACAGCGATTTCGGCACCTTGTATATGTCTCCTACTGCTGGAAGTTAGCCGATGCACACATACACGGCTGTTCGCTTGTGTGCGTATCCTCTCCACTTGCTGCTACATGCTGCAAGCGTCTCAAAACTAGTATCTCTTCGCGTCACTTTGTTGTGCGTGAACTTGGCGTGAGGCACTACCGTGCCTCGTGATTAAATAATACTGTTACCGGAAAACTTCGAAGCCTCAGTATTATATTTTTATCGTTATTTCTTTTGCTTCTGTCATTATTAACATTACCTTTCTGATACGATCGGTAATGACCGATGGTGTTCGAGCTTCTCTCAATATCAGAGAAACTCTATCTGCGGGGAAGATTGATTTTTCGTCTGCGTCATTATTTTATCAGTCGGCTGTCGAATCATGTTTAAAGCGTACCGTTTTCTTCTTTGCTACGAACAGGTATCCGCTTACTCATTAGCTTTTTAATTATCTCTGGTCGAGAGGCTCTCTATCATGGTGCGTTTAACGGAACGTTCTCCCTTAATCGTTTTAAGAGTTCGTTTTATTATAGTAAGAATGAAGGAACTTTCAATTATAATACAGAGAACGTACTTGCATAATGTACAGTCTTATAAATGTAAAATATATAGCTTTCGCAATGCAACATGTAACATCATCATCAATCACGAATCTACGTGAATGTTTAAAGTCAATTTTTGTGAGAAAATAGATGATCTACAATTTTTACTCTACAATTTTTTTACTCTACAATTACACACATTGTGACGTATATGTCTATGTAAAAATTTTATATAAGAAGAAAAGCAAAACGCGCGAAAACTGAAGATGTTTGATTATCGTTGATAACGACAAGACAAAAGTCGCGGACTGTGTTCTAATCCGTACTTTTAGAAATTCCGCGTCACGAGTTTCATGAGAGGTTCGAGAAGTTTAAAGCTTCCGAGAGACGACAAATCTGGGAAAATTGTGACCCGATCGCTCTTCGTGTTCTTGGGTGTTCCCGATGTGGTTTGAAATTAGCACGAACGGATTATAAGACCTGGCTGCTCGTGACACTTCTATTAGCGGCGCGGAAAGAAGACGAAGGAAAATTCATCTCTCTCTTTCTCTTTCTTTCTCTCTCTCTCTCTCTCTCTCTCTCTCGCTCCTCTTTTTCTTTCATCATAAAATCGGAACGCGTGCAGCCCGCTTCCTTCTGACGTGATGTATCTTGCAGGAACTCATTTTCGTTGCGCTTCACTCGATTCACGTTTCTCGGTGTAACGTTTATACGCTGCCAACCGGATATATTTTTGCATTAAGAATAAGTAAAAAAAAAAAATCACAACGAAGGAAAAAATAAACAAACACTTAAGAAACGATTTAACGCGATAAAAAAATCTTGGCGCAAATAAATATTTTTTCATTTACGTAATTATTGATCAATTAATTGGAGAAGAATAACAATCGAGAAAATTTAAATGCAAATAATGGTTTAGGCAAATTGTTCCCAAAGGAGATACCATCCGGAGATGTCGTAAAATATTTTTTGTTGCGATTTAGGTAAATGCACAATCAACGCGATACGCGCTAAAGTCAATTGCCGCGATAAGGACGAGGACAATGTGACTCACTTTGTCGAGAGAACTTAAGCTTAATCTCCAACGAGGTAAGTCCGTCTTAGAATGTACTTAGAGCAAAGGTGCGGTCCACAAGTAGAGAGACTCTCCGAGCAGATATCTCTTCCGAGAGGTATCGCGACACTTCCTTATTCAACGTATAGCTTACATTTCTGTATGTGTGCTATACGAAAATCGAGGCCGTCTACCGAAGTGTTTGCGTGAGAATGTGAAACCTTCTCCGTTCGCGCACTATGACATCTGCGAGAACAAGTTCGAGAACAAGTTTCGCTAACACGACATAAAAAGTAATTAAATGTCAAAGTCGATGAGGAAATCTCCTCGGAATTTTCGTATGTAAAACTCTTTTTTAAAAATCTCTTACATAAAAAACAAAATTATAATATAAAATAAATTAATCAATTCCAAGAAATGGAATATTATTGGAATCAATAACGAGAGAGAGATGTTTTTTTTTCTCTTCAAGAATAGATTTACAATGTTAAAACGATGAGGTCGGACGTTCTCAACGGCAAACTTATGTCGCGTGAGCAAAAGTTCTTGCACCCTTCCGGTTATCACGAAATGGTCGATAAGACTTCGACTTTCCGAGCGGTGCTCTCTCTCCTCTCCGAGAGGAGAATGAGTATACCTCGCGCATAAAAGGGATTAAGCGAACAGCAGCACGAGTCAGCTTTAAGCGGATTTATGGACTACGACAACTATTTAGATAGGCGGAATAGAGAGCGCCAAAGCGATTCTCCGCTTTTTGTTCTCGTTGGTAGTAGGCATCTCGGGTGGTGAGACTCCTACTTGCGAAACGAACCGTATATAGACGAACGAGGATGAAGGAGAAGGAATATATCTGCGATACTTGGAAAGATATTCGGTAGGCACGACGGAATCTAGAGCTCAATCCGAGTTTCGGCCGGTATTTCGGCTTAATTAGTTTTTCGTTCGCGGATAATCCGCGGCCGCGGCGATTTGTCACCCGACAACCTCCCCAAAGTTTACGCTCGCGGGGGGAGAGAATTAAGGCACACGAGAAGCCGTGAGGAAAGTTAGGGGAAGAGCGAGCAGGTCGGTGTTTGGGCCAACGAGATTAGGACGATATTTAAACGAGGAGCAGCATTTCCACCCCTCCGGAGGCTTCTGTCGTAAGTCCCGACTCAGGAGAAGTTCACGGAGGATTCGTTTTATCGTCCGTCGTATAATTTGAGGATGTCACCGGCCAAGAAACTATCCAAGTGGCTTAAATCTTTAGGATATTCGCGTATTGGATATCCGATAAGCAAACTTTTGACTTCCTTTCTGTTTACCGATCATTAGTTTATGCAGAATGATTTTTTTTTTTTTTTGTTACTTTATCTTCTATGGCGTATTTTTTTGCAAACCTGCGATTTGGAGATAAGATATAGTCACGTACAATCTTTTGGTTTTTTCGGTAACGTTTACGTAATAATTCGGCGAGTATAACCTTGCCCTTAATGTAATCTTTAATTATTATAATTGCATGTGTTAATTGTAATCGTAATTAATCGATTATTGAAAAACAAATTCGCGACAGATGTTAAAAGAGAATATAAATTATAAACAGTCCATCTCGTACGTATTCCACTTATTGAGCAAATAACTGGGGGATTCTGAAGAATATGAACTATTTTAATAAGCGTTTGATGATACAATACACGTCATCGTGTATAAACTAAAAAAAAGACTCGAGATATAAGTTCGCAGTCGCCTACATGTCGGTGTATCGAAGAAAAAGAAAACGCGAATGCTCCTTTAGCAGCTTCCAAGTATTAAACTGCTCGTAAAAGAGCTTTTACGCGATCAGACTTTCGCAATGAAACTTTGGGTCTTGGAATCGATCGAGAGCCGCGTCGTTCTGGAAAGGGTTCTCGTAAACTTTTCTCCAAATAATTTCATAAAAATGATGGATTTTTTCTAAAAAAAAAAAAAAACAAAACAAAACAAAACAAAACAAAAACAAAAAAAAAATTTCGCTTGTATACGAGATTGTGCATTTGATTGAGCTTTGATACAAAATAAAGTTTAGTATGATAATTCACAAAAAGCCTTTATATACAGATATTTAAATATACGCACATTTCACTAATAAAAAGAATATAATAAAGTATATTTCATAGAAGAGAGAGTAATAGTTTTTAATAAAATTACGTGTGCGTTACAAGAACAATATTAAAATCTCTCTCTCTCTCTCTCTCTCTCTCTCTCTCTCTCTCTCTCTTTCTCTCTTTCTCTCTCTCGCATGAGTTGAATTTAATACCAAAGTCTTTTACAATCACGATTTAAAGATATTACACACAGGCGGAATTTAATAAGCAAATATCAAGGAGAAATGTTTCTTTAAAGTAGATCATCGGTATTTATCGTTCAACGTGTTGATTATCACAAATAATATCTTGCTGACGAATTGTATATATAAGCAAGCCATTTACATAAGTGCGAGAGCGCAATAAATTAAAGAGAACAGACACAGAGGAAGAGAGAGAGAGAGAGAGAAAGAAGAAGACGACGTGTACCGTACTTAACGGAGCGCTGCAGAAAAGTCTAAAAAGCTGAACGATGACAGAGAGCTTTAGAAAAATCTAACCCGGCTCGGCGGGGAAAAAAAAAAAGCGAGGAGAGTGCGAGCAGAAAAAAAAGGGAGAGAGATGCTGAAAGGAGCTGGAAGAGGAAGCAGCACAGCGGAACGGGCTGCCGTGAACCAAGGCAGTTATGACTTTTTTCTTCAAGCCGATCCCCTCGCCGCGAACAGCCACTATCCTCCCCCGAGGTTTTCCTCCTATGCGAAT